ACCGAGCTCCCGTGAGGGAGCTTCGAAAGACCCGTCACGTAAGGCTTTCGGTTTAGTGTTTTTGCTGGTGCGTTGATCGACGGTCTGCTTTTCGCGATCGACCCATGCATTCAATGCGACAGGAGGAACGTGGACGAAATAGCACTCTGTTGGCTAAGAACTGCTCAGCTTAGGCGGGTGGTAGCTTTCCAGTGAAGTGCGAAGAGTTCTCCTACCTTCGATAGGAAGCCCGAGGTACACCGCTCATCGCAGGGGGTTTTAGACCGGTAAACTGCTCCTTTCCGTGTTTACTTACTGGAGTGACCGGGGCGAGAGCGGATGGTCAAAAGAAGCCAGGAGGTGCCCGATCAGCTGGGCTTGTGCGAATGAGCTTTATCCGACTACCCACNCCTTTCAGGCATGACTGGATTTGCCGCTGCAACGAGCCATCCTGTGTAAAGTGCCGGGTCATGTACGCACGTAAGAAATCACATGATTTTAGGGTGGAGTCTAGTGGAGAAAGAATAAGTTCGGTCGACACGTGAATGGTTGTGTTTCAGTGGATAGTCCTGATTTCTTCATCACACACCGTTGTGTGGTGGAGTACTGACGAGANNNNGAGGGACAAGCTAAATAAGGCCCAAGGACGTTAGTTATGGTAGTGAATCAGACGATGGTGAGGTCACCATCAAATTTAATTTTACATTTTTACTTCCTTTTATTGAATACATGATGCAATTTTCAGGAGGGGGAAGCGGCCAATCAAAGGGCTACCCTACAATACAAAATGGGGAAAGTGAGGCGGTGGTGATGGGATTGATACACAAGTCCTCCGGGGTGATAGTTAGGTCACGTTACCACCGGATCACCAACACCTTGCGTAGCGCCCCCAAACCATGGTCACGGATCCGAGTCATTCCCTATGCACGATGGGGACAGATAAGGGATCCTTATGTAGGGCATGGTTAATAAATAATCTTTCTTAGTTTAATTTTCAGACCTTTCCCTTTATCTGAAAGACAAAATGTATCCACCTCCAGAAGGGGGAAAGGAGCCAAAAATTGCTCCTACTGTAAGCTTGTAATGGGAGCAAGAATGTTTCACGATTTGGGTAACATTCAGAAATTAGCGCACTGCACACGGGGAATTTTCGGGGAACGTCTATCATCAAAGTAAGGTTAGATTGCTGGGCACCCCAGTGGCCCGACGGAAACAGATATGGACCGTGAAGGGATGTGACAACAAGCAGTAAATATATATGTTCCCCAGTGGTTTTGCTGGTCTATTCGAAAAAGACTTAGATTTTTCGTCGATCATCAGTTATGTATCTTCTATACTTATTGATGACCTATTTGAAAACCTTTATGAACCTCACTTGTCCGCACGTGAAGCATCTGCACATAAAAATACTCTCCGACCCCACTCATCCTTTACATGGAGATCTATGCGAATACCGCTCTTATTCATCTACGGGTTCTACATATGGATTAACCTCTACAGAAATTCCCCATTTCTCTATCTTGCAAGAGGTTTTGTAAACCGACAGAGTGCTTCTTCTGAATTTCTCAACAACCTTGGATGTTAGGTGTTTTAATCACATTATTTCCTTCTTTTGATGGGATGTGTAATCTTCAACTGGAATATATATATATATATATATATATATTATTGGAGTGTGAAATTGATTTCCAAAGAAGAACCAAGCTGAGAGAAACGACAATTTATCATTTTCCTAAACATATATATTTGTAATCTGCAAAGATTTTGAATTCTGTGGGGCACTCGAATGTGGACATTTTGCTACAGTGGTCAACAAAGCCACGGCCATTCGGTCTATCGATGGGAGCTGTCACACTCACGTGCGAACCATAATCGCAGTTGACGGGTAAGCGGATCTTTAGAGTGGGATGTCAGATCCCAGCGATCGATAACCGCCGTCGCGCGGACTCGACTGTGAATGAATGAATGATATTCTCACTTGTCCTAGGTCACCGATGAAGTCAAACAGGTCACTTGCCAAAGGTCAGTGTAACCCGGGTCTGTGAGATGCACGTTTAGTTTATGAATCACGTTATGGCATCAACTGTTGAACTTAGTCCGACCAACGACGGTCATAACGAACGTATCAATCGGGTTGAACATACACTGACAACAACCAAAGCGAACGAACGAATAAGTGTATAAAGACGCTTATGATACACATTTTTCACTAGAAAATCTTGAATAGATTGCACAGCGAACAATCAGTTTGAATATGGGAAAGAAGTCAATGTTCTGAGTATACCCCGCAACAAATATTTGACTCATTTTAGATGATGTTATTTCCTTCAAAAGCGGATTTTTGCCTCATTGTATTCTAACTGGTTCACCTTTGCTTTCCTTGAATGTGTTAACAATGATGTGATTATTATAGCTATATTGTGATGGACGTCGTTCAATCAACTTTGTGGTTAGCCTAATATTTCAACGGAATGGAGTAATATCTGGAATTAATATGAGACAATTGGATCAGGAAAAAATCCCCTGAAGAAAGGCAGGTATTTTCGGGATAATTAGACACTTAAAACTAAAAAGAGGCTGAATACCGCATGCAATGTACCGATGCTAAGCTGAGGGCATCATAAAAGATTTTATTTCCTTCGATAAATAACGGATACGCAGGACGGTATATCTACATTCCGTTATAAATAAACAGTACAATATTATAAACACAGGAACAAGCAACGAAATTTACGTACTTTTCATCGATCCAGTTTATTTTTTCATAAAACTCTAAATCGATTTTCATACTACTTAATAGCATCTACTACCGACTAACATGCTATGTCACAGTTCCTGGAATTTACCCACTTCGAATTCCCGAAGAGTGCGACATGTTAGGATATATATATATATATATATATATATATATAACGATAATAGCAGTGGGTAGGGTAATGGAACACAAATAATATGAACTTACAGGCGAAAATAGGCGACTCAATCATTTGAATCAGTTGATCCATCTCGACCAACATATCCACCGTGATCGTGAGTTCACCACTTCCGAACGCGAAGAATACCAACCACATTAGGATGTTTAGTCAACAATTTTTAATGAATTATACGCACGATTGACGCTGAATTCAATACACTACAATACATGTAGTTTCAAATAGTTGTGCTAATAGGGTTGACGTGGGTTTCAGTCATAAATCACAAATACTGACTGGATGCAAATGATTTGAACAGCCGGACCTCCCGCATGGAAACTCCGAAATGTGCGTACGGTTATTCCGCGGAATCATGCTAATGTTTTGATGCATATGTTACACCCTGCAAATTGCTGCCGGTGCATACACCAAAACGTATCGATTTCACGGATATTCTGAAATGAAGGCACCCAACAGATTTCCGTGTGACATAGCAGTTTAGCTGCCTTGGTATTTGATCGAAACGATGAGCAAGAGTAGTTGACAGTTATGTGTACCTTATGGTGTCTCTGCCAGAACTCGAACAGCAGGCACTTGGATTGGGAGTAAAAACCCTTACCCTGGGCTTTACGGTAGATAGGAAACACCTCGAGCATATGGCTAGATTGATTCAGTGTTTTTTGTACTAACCACTCGAAATTATCAATATCGCGGTTTGAGGATTGTAAGAATGATACTCGATATGGTGACTTGATCTTGGTATATCAAATAATGCAGAACCCAGATCACCCATGTCGTGCAATGTGCGACACGCCTGAGGGGGAAGTGATTCAAATTAGTGCTCGAAAAATACCGACTAGAATGCCGGCGTCACTCATTTGCCCTCAGTGTGCATTACTTGGAATTCTCTTCCACCTCACGTTGATTCTGCGTTCACAATCGATTCTTTCAAGCGCAAACTGGATGAAACTTGGAAGTCTTCAATTTCAACGGCCGTAGCAGGGCATGAAACAAGGATAAATTGTGATATTCATCTACTTTCTATGAGCCGTGAATCTATTCATCCGTGCTAAACCCTATGGGACTAGAAAAGCAACAGCTTGTAAGTGTCTCCCATAATAAAACTTTGACTTTGACCAAAGATTCACATGAAAGCTAAGAAGAAAAAACAAACACTTTACTTTCCTTACAATCTTCAACGATGATAAAACCAATCTTAGTGAAACCATCCATGCAACGATGAAAAGAATATAAACCTAAACTCCATTGTCGTTAAATACGAAAGCACTGATCAATCTGAACCGTAAAAACTGTAAACTCGCATATACCGATAAGTGAATCCCATAACAATCATCTCCGTCAATTAGAAAGACACGAAAATGATTAGTGAAATAGATGGAAACACAACAGCCGGTAGGATATTGTACGATAAAAAGGATACAATGCTTTGATCAGTCGACTGCATTGTTTGTAGTTCTGTGTCAGTAAAAGTAACGATAACAACGCCACCGGATTATATGACCAAGCCCGAAAGAGTCGTTCCAGTAAATGACAGCCGTCCTGTGCGGTTGGGATGAGAAAGAATAAGAGTTTAACATCACCGATAAGTAGTGGTGGGGCTGTTCAAAGAAAACGGATTAGGTAGCAATGAGTCGTGTAATTTTCGGAGGTACGGTTGGTAATAAGATGATACTTCGGGTTTTCAGTTCACGCCTCATTTACACAACGAATTAATCATCTAGTCAAATCAAATCCTCCATTTCTCTCATATAGTAAAGTTTTTTAATACTCTACACTAATCACAAAGTCATGTTAATGAACATATTCACAATGCGAGGATCTAGCATGTTTCAAGATGCTAAAAACGGAAATGAGGAGCATTGTTTATATGTACCAAAAACGGATGTTCGAAACGAAAATCGGTAGTAATATACTTTCAACCTCTGGTGTATTTTCAACTGAGTTGAGCGCAGTAAAGGTTACGGCATATAAGTAGCACCTCTGAGCTGGTGATTTGTGTCTCCTGGGCCGCATCCCACCTTGTTAGTCTCCAAGACCGATCAGACACTCTAGGCTCTAGGTAGGTATGCATCAATAGACATATCCCGTCAAACTACTCGACACGTGGGCTAACCTAGGTTGAGTGCCTGAAACTTCGGGGAGACAGCGTATGCCATGCAAAGATAGCTAATTCCTGGTGGACGAAGGAGAGACCCACTGGTGTGTCAAGCGGCCATTGAGATCTGCTCAACTAGCAGGATGACATGGGTTAGGGGCTACACTCACATCCATCTAATAGTGCTTGACATACAAGAGAGCCACCGGCAACAATTCACTGGCACATTGATGTCCTCAATCCACAATTGATTAATCAAAGATTGGAAGAGCTCGAAAAAAGTTGTGGGACAATGAGGATTAGCTTGTACGAAACCCATATGAAAATTCATGATAATCGTCAAACCAGTCTTTCCGCATCAATGGACTGGTCGAAGTAGGATAGAGACCAACCACCAGGAAATTCGAGAAACATGTAAATAAGATATTTGCAGCTAAAAAAGCACAAATGTAGTTAGAATGATTAAGATGCCCCAATCAACGAGCTGCCAGTTTGCGGTGCAGCAATTGAGGGCAGAATCACTCATATGCAGGCTTAAATACGTTCGCTATCATTAACTCCGTAGCTTTTGCCGAGTAACTTAAAACCGAACGGATTAATACAGAAAAAGTAAATTTTGATTTTGACACCTTAAGGGGTAGTCTGAGAGCGAAAATAGAGCCGGACGTGTTGCCACTGCCGCCTTATCTTAGTCATTCAATGTATTTAAACATGATGAGTTAATGAATGTGGATTAGAGTTAGGGGAATGCTTACTATCTCTGTTTTTCATTATACACTTTTGTGTGATGAAAAGCAGTCAGTTATAGAAACCGGTAACCTAAGCCCCAGGACTTGGAGTGGTGAACCACGTAATTCCCCACTAGGTTTGGTGGGG